TCAGACTTAGAGAAAAGTTGCAAGACTAATACAAAGGATTCCTGGGCACCGTTCACCAAGATCCCCCTGGTGTTAGCATTTTACTGCTTTCTATTCTCTCTCCCTCCCTCCCTCCCTCTCTCTCCTGCTCCCTTCCTCTGTCTCAGTCTCCCCCTCCTACCCATCCCCCCACAGGGTTTCTTTCCTGAGCCATTTATCAATAGGTCGTCCCCGTCCACCTGAAACTAACACAGAATACTATCGAATGTAAACTGTCATTGAAAATTTTTTAAAAACCATGTCCCTTTACTACTGAATACTTTCATACTTCAGTAGGCATTGCCTAAAAGCAACTGATTCTCTCACGTAGCTACAGAACACCTACCAAAACCAGGGAGTGAACACCACACTGTTGGCTAACCTGCGGCCTCATTCCCGTTTCACCGTCTGTCCCACACTGTCCTGCCCAGCGAGGGCAGGACATCCCGGGTCACACCTCGCCGTGTCTCTTTAGTTCCTTTCGTCGGAAATTGTTCTTGTGTCTTTGCAGTTTATGACATTAGCATTTTCGAAAAGTACCCACACTGTGGGTATTTTGTAACATGGCTAAAGATTCCTTTTACAATAAATTTCAGTTTTGAAAAACGTGAATTCATTGAAAGAAAACCTATTAAGCAGGCAAGAGAACAAAAGGTCCACAGAAAACAAAACCAAAAACTGGGGTTTGGGAAATGTTGGTTTCAATCCATTTTATTCTGCCCCTGAGGGGCCGTCACCCCTCCCTGCAGGGGGCTCCCCATAGCTGGAAATGCGGGGTGACCTGGCTACCTCCAGCCCTGCACTATCCCCCCCGGGTGGGTGGTCCTGACCTTAGAGCCCACAAGGACCTTCTCACAGGAAGAGGTGTTCTTGCCGGCAGCGAGTGCCTGCGAGCCGGGTGGCTCTGCACGGTGGTACCACACCTCTGTGTCTCGGGCTGTTGCCCTGTGCCTGGAACTCAGGCTCACTCTCTGTTGCCTGCAGGGCGCACCCACCTCCTTTTCAGGTTCCCAAGAAAGTGACAGCAATGAGAGCCAGAGCGGGAAATGGAGCAAACATCGGAGGTCAGGGCTCTGCCAGGAAGGGGCTACCGGTTTGGAGGGGGGGGTGCCCTCATGGTCAGGTGACAGGGACTCACTGTGTCCTTGCTCGCAGAAGAGTTGGGGTCACTGACCCCAGTTATTTTAGCCTCTCATCCTCAGAGGACAGCCTCCAGCGGCCGGGCAGGGCATCTGAGCCAGGCCCAGGGGAGGTAAGGCCGCACCCAGAGTGGAGGGAAGCAGGAGCTCCGATCTGGGGAATAATGGTGTCTCCCGGAGGGGCCCTGGGGGACCCGGGGCGGATGTGTCTGTGAGTGTGTAGATGTGGACTGTTTTCTCACAGTGGACGGGGAAGCAGGTGTGACCCCAGCTCAGCGGTGGCAGGGAAGGCCGGAGACCCACAGGCAGCAGGGTGCTGTGAACAAGGTCACTCGGAAGGGGAAGGACTCTTGGGCAGAGCCCATGGCACTGCAGCGACTTCCTCTCCTTCTGCACTTGGGTGGCCAGGGCTGTGGGCCTAGGTGAGGAGAGACTGGAACGGGCACCTGTTGCGGCCCGGATGGCGCTGGGTCCTCTTGGGGAAAGCTGTCCTTCCCCAAGAAAGAAGGTCTCTCCATCCTTCCCTGGCCTCCACCCCTCTGGCTCTCCCGCCCTCTGCCTTTCCGGTTTCCTTCCTCTCCTCCTTCCTGCCTGCTGGGTGGAGCCCTGCTGGGCGTCTGGGTCCCAGGGTCCTGGCTGGAGGTCCTTGAACTAGTTCTGAGACTCCTCTGGGCTTCACTGTACTCACCCCTAAGACCACAGAGATTAGGATACCTTACTGCCCTGAGGGTTTGGGGTTTGAGGACCAGGTGAGCCACACACATAAGGGATCCAGACAGTGTCCAGAGAAGGGGACCCGCCTCGTGGGGCCCGCCGTGTCTCCCAGTGGTGGGTCTGCTCAGACACAAGTGGCCTCTGCTTCTTTTTCTCTCTGTCTCACCACTCTCTCTCTCTCTCTCCCCTCTCCCTTTGTCTTTCTCTTCTTTGTCTTCCTCTGTTGCTATTTTGGTCCTTCCTCGATGATGCTGGTGAGGGGTGAGCCTCCTTTCATGTCAGGATGCCAGAACCCCGTCAAACTGGTAAACAGCTGAAGGATGTGGGGAGAGATGAACTTTCCACTGAGGCGACTTTGAACTCATCCTTCCTTGACGGGTCTCCCCTGCTCCTCCTCTTTTTGGAGCCTCCATGCCCTCGTCGAGAAGCCGGGACCCGGGCCTGGGGCCACGACGAAGAGGGGCCCACGCTGAGTGGCCCCACGGCGCTCCAGCCACCTCTGCCCGGCTCCAGAGCCATCGGGAGGGGCTTGGAGAGGGACGGAAGTGGAAAGCACAGACGGGGCTGTAGGGAGGGATGGGGAGCTGAGTGGTGGCTTGGCAGATGTGCCTCAGAGGTGAGGTTTCCAGTGGAAAAGGTTGGGTACCAGCAGGCAATGCCCAGCCGGGCGCATGGAGCTTTTACCCTGACTCCTGGGACCGGCCTCCCGGCCACATCCGTGCAGCCCGGAGAGCAGACTTGAGCTGAGGACCCTGGTGGGACAGTTCTGCCGAGTCCATCCTCGTCCTTCTGGCTCTCCCAGGTGTCAGGAGGAGGTGGCAAACGGCGGGGCTGAGGCAGGAATGATGTTCCCACTGGGTGATCAGATCAGTGAACACGGAAAGGACCCCTTCCTGTTCCCCCTCCCCTGAGTCAGGGGGCTGAGGGGAGAGCAGCCAGGGCCCAGCCCTCCACGTCAAGCTGACAGCCCTGGGGAAAATGGAATATTCCGGAGCCTCAGCTCCCTCGACCCTAGCAGGGGGAGAGTAGGAACATCTCACGGGGCTGTTGTGAGCACTGATGAGTCAGGAGCTGCACAGGACCCAGGAAGGGCCTGTCACTGTTGGACTGTGTGACTCGGACAAATCACTGAACCTCTTTGGGCCTCCGTTTTCTCACCTGGGAGAGAGTGGGTTGGAGAATCGCCTGTCCTCAGTCTCAGTCTCTTCTCCTGGGCTGGACCACCTGGGACCTCGTGAGCCCCTGGGCTTCCTGCACCGCCTTTGCGCACGCCATTCCATCAGCCTGCACCGCCCTTCCCTCTCGGTCCACGGCTAACTCCTGCTCGTCCTTCGTGACCCCACTCAAGCAGCGCCTCCCCAGGAAGTCTCCCCGGACTTCCCTCTGCAGCAGGGTCAGGGGCTCCCCTGGGCCCCCCACGTTCGCAGCCATAAAACTGCCCCAGTGTCTCCATTCTTGGGCCCAGCCCCTCCCGTGTGGATGTTTCTAAAACTGGGCTTCATTCAGCTGTCACCTCCATTTAACGTCATGGTGTTTCCCCTCACAGAGCCTTGAGGCTTTTTATAGCGCCTGGCCGCTGGCCAGCACGCCTGCTTTGCCCGTGAGCCCCCTGGGCTGGATGGGCTGAGTCCCCTGGAGGCACCAACATGGGGGCCTCCCTGTGAGCCGCCCCGGTCACCCAACCCAGGAAGCCGGCTCTGTAGGTTCTGGACGCCAACCGGTAGACTGTCTCCTGCCTCCAGGCCGCCCAGGGGCCGGGAAGGGGAGGGAGACACGTCTGAGTGGCCTGGGTTCTCTTGGACTGGTGTGGGGAGGGGACAAGGACAGGAGAGGGGGCTTTGGTGAGCAGTGAGGGAGAACTTGGGGGAAAAGAAGGTGTCACCATCTACCTGGGGGATCAGGGCAGGGTGACCAGGCTATCAACTCTCTGAGTGACCTTGGACAAGTCCTTTCCCCTGCTGGGCCGCAGTCTCTTTACTGGTCAAATGAGAGCAGGACGAGATGCTCCTACCTCCTCCAGCACGGACGGCTGACTGTCTTCTCTACTTTCCTCCCATTTCTCCTTTTAAGGAGATCGCGCGCCTCTATTCATTAATCTGCCGAGGGAGGAGACATGCACTGCAGAGACTCTACCCCTGGCCATCACCTACGCGGTGCCTACCACTGCGGTGCACACTTTACAGACAGACTTCTCAGCAAAGGCTCAGAGATGTTGAGCGACTTGCCCGAGACCACACAGCCAGGACAGGGTGGAGTCTGAATTTGAACCCAGGCTGTCTGACAAAAAAGGCTTTCACAAATTGCTCTGGAAGTCTGTCCCCGCCCACCCCACCCCTGGCTCCTCCCCTAGGAATCCCCCTTGGCCTGGGGAAGGGGGCCCATCACAGCAACAACCACATCCTGTGACGGTTGCCCTGGGGAGTGCCAGCCTTCTCTCCACCTGTGGGACAGGTGAGCAGAAAACGGGCCCTGCTCAGCCCTGCTCAGCCCTGCAGAGCAGGGTCCCACAGCCCAGCCTCCCCTACCTACCCCCTGCTCTGGGCGGGCTCAGCGGAAACCTGAGCCCCAGCCCTCACCCCAAAGGCAGAGCTGGGCTCAAATCCCAGTGTCTGAGCTGGTGGAGAATTCCTTTCATGCGTCCTTTCCCGGATGCCTTCATATCCACCAGCCTCATCTCCAGCTCTTCCTCAGCCTGGGATCAGCCTCTCGGCCAGGCAGCTCTGAGTGCAGAACCCCCTCGAGTTACCCTGCCTCAGAAGCTTTGGAGGCCCAGGTTCAAACCCACCCAGCACGGCAACTTTAGCCCCACTGTGCCAGGCCCATAAGGGGCAGATAGATCAGGGAGTACAGTGGCTGCCAAACCTACGGGCGGCTGCCTCAGTGTCCACCTCCTCCAGGGCAAGTCCTAGACCCTCTTGTCCCTGTCCCCCCAGCATTTTCCACGGTGCGGGGCCGCAATGGGTTTTCCAGTTTGCCTCAGTGGACAGAGCTGCCCCCACCCGACCCACACACAGCCTGGGGTTGTACAGGGTTCAAGGATTGGTCACTCCGTGGCCAGGTTTCATTCAGCAATTAGTTTAATCTCAGGATGCTCAGAACAGGACAGCAAGCAGCTGGCCCCAAACCCCACTCCCCCACGTGCCCCTCCCCTCCCCGGCCTCTCTGGGGAGGCTGATGGGTCATGTGGCTCTGGGCTTATCTTGCCTATTCACAGGCTTCTCCCGGAGTCTCCCACGAAGCCATGCAATCAGACAGGGACTAGGGGCTTGGCGAGCCTCTGGACCCCTCCCGCAGACATCTCTGAGCCTCCGCCCCTCTAGGGACTTGGACCCAGTTCAGGGTCTGTGCTGGGATCATCTTCTTAAACTGTTGGAAGCTCAGAATAAGCATTCGGCATCCAGGGACAGTCACTGCAGAACCAGGTGGTAACCCTGGTGGGCTCCAAGGGCCTCCAGAGGCAGGGCCGGCCTCAGGCCCTAGTCCCTTGGCAGTGGGGGATGGCGGACAGTTGTCCTGCTCACTGTCAGCTGGCTGTGCCCAGGAAGGCTAGGTTCCCTGCTCAGATGGAAGCCTAGATCTGCTGGTGTGCTGGCCCCAACTGCAGAGGCTACCTGTCGGGGCAGCAGCAGCCCAGCAGCCCCTGCTCGCGGCGCCTCCTGGGCAGCACTGGGACTGGCCGTTTCTGCTCCTCTCATTAATTCTGGGCCCGGAGCTGTCTGAGACCCAGGGCACCAAAGCACCAGACACCCGCGGGTCAGAAGGGGCTTCAGCAATCATCCGGTTCAACCCCTTTGTGCCGCTAGCTGAGAGGCGGCCCAGACTGCTTGTCCATCCCTGAGACGGAGCTCGCCACCTTTCAGACACGGCGCCTCCACCTTGGGGCTGCTGTTTGGCGCTGGCAGAGGGCGGTGCCAGCAGGTTCAGCCTGATGGATGGAGACTGAGAGGTGCAGGGTGTGGAGCTTCCTTTCATCTCTCCAGGGGAGGCCTCTCAGCACCCTGGGGCACAGTCCGGGAGGGTGGGGCGGGGCAGGGGAGTAGGTAGAGCCTGCGTCCAGTGGAAGGGAGCCACCTGGAGCTTCGCTGGGCCCTGCCTAACCTGCTCCGATGTCATCGTAGTCATCATCATCAGTAGAATCAGGCTGGGGACAGGAGGATCCTGTGTGGCCAAGAGGCTCAGGTCAGGGGGACGCTTAGGGGCAGAGGGAGACCCAATCATTCCCCAGCTGCCCCAGGACAGAGCTCAGTGGGTCTGAGTCCACGCCCCCTCCCCATGATCCTGTGGGGCGACACGTGACAAGAATCCATCTTATCATCTTGATCACTGCCATGTCCCTCACTAGAAGGCGGCCTTTTCTTTGTTCAGGGAGCTTGTCCCCATGCCGGCACAGTGCCTGATGGACGGCTGATGCTGGGAGCCCCTGCCACCACCATTCCCCCCAAGGGGCCATCTGGCTGCTTCTGCTTGAATGCTTCCACGAACGGGGGGTTCACTTCCTCTCAAAGCACTCTCTTTGAATCTCTGTCCAATTTACCTCCCTTTTCCCTATTCCTCATATTCCTGTTTGTTGGGTTTCTTTTTTAATCCCTTTACCTCTTTTTTTCTCCTTGGGCTGATTGGCCCAGTGGCTCCAGATACCCCCCGCTCATCCTTTCCCCAGCCCCTCTGTCTCCCCCCTCCCAAGATTCCCTCCCCTGCCACTGGCACCTGGACACCCAAACTGCTCCGCTGGAACGGGCTGGGGCGGCAGCCGGCAGTTCTGGTACCACTCCCCGGACGAGGTGCTGGAGCTGTCACCAGCCGAGGGCCCTGGGGGAGGCAGACACAGTCACCCTCTGCCTGGAGACAGTCGGTGCACAAACTGCCAGAGCTGGGAGGCCCTCACGACCCCATGGGGTCAAGCCTGTAGCTTGATGAATGAGGAAATGAAGGCCCAGAGAGGGGAAGAGACATGTCCAAGGTCACACAGCAAGTGGCTGCGGAGCTGGGACTAGAATCTTGAACTCAGCCTGGTTCAGGGCTCTTAGCTTCACGATTTCTCCAGCCAGGTTGGCTACAGGGCACGCACAGAGTTCCCCTGGCTCAGCTTACCTGAAAAAGTCCCGTGGGAGCCAGCCAGCTCCAAGCTTGGGGGCTGCTCCCGGAGGGGGCTCTTCTCTGAAGAGAAGCCCTGAGGGTTCCAGGGCGGTAGCCTGCTGCTGGGGCTATTACAGTAGCCCTCCCCCGATGACGTGCTGGAGCCGCTGTCACTCCTCACGTGCTGCTGAGGGCGCAGGGAGGGGGGATCTGCAATGCAGGGTCCAGGGTTGGCAGGTGGGAACTGGGAGGCACACGCCTCTTCAAGTCCCAGGCGAGCAAAGCAGAAGGCTTTAGATTAGATTTAGCAGAGGACAGAGCGCCACCCGAACTGTTAACATCAGCAAGGACCTGTCCAGGGGAGCTGCCCGCGCTGCCCACGGTGCGCTCAGCGGCTACCTGGAGGCAGGGCCAGCATCGCCGGCTCCGGGCCCAGCCCCAGTCCCACTGACCTTCCTCCAAGGCGGGCATCCGGAACCTGTTCTTCTGGACCTCCTCGTCTGTAACTCGGTGTCGCTGGGAATCTACAAGCAGACATGGTGGTGAGGAGGCGTGAAGGCTCCATTGCCTTGTCCCAGGAGCCTGGAGGAGGGCGCCCCTGAGGCTGATTGGGCGGGAGGACGACCCCAGGGGCCCAGAGAGGCTTAGCCTTCCCCACCAGATCTCGGGTTTATGTCCTAGTCCAGGAAGACCCCAAACCTCCGTCTGAAACCAGCACGGGCACAGGCTGCTTTTGGCCAGAAACTTCCCTGCACCCTCTGTCCCCAGCTGCCCCTCCCTCCACGTAAGGAAATATCAGGTCCTGGGGTCTCTCCTTGTGTGACGTTGCCCCTTCGAGGAGCCAGCCCCCAGCGTAAGCTGGAGGGTCGGGAATCTTTCTGTCACAGCTTCTGGGGCACCTTCGTTTCAGAACCAAGGAGACACAGACTCATAAGATCTTCCAGGCTCCAGTGTCCGGGATCCTGGAGTCGGCTCTTTCGAAACAGGAACCACTGACTCCTAGTGTCAGAGTCTCAGGATTTGGGACTCTCAGTCTTACACCTTCCACGCCTGGGCTCAGGATCTCAGGTCCTGAGGACACCTCATCCCGGGGGGCCCCAAACGCCAGTGCAGGGACCCGAAGTGGAGCCATTTGCGTCCCTGCCCCAGAGGCTCTGGTCTAGCAGGTGCGGCAGAGATGGCTGGCTGTCCCACATCTCTCTCCTGCAGTAGGGGACCCTCGGGCCTTTATCTGGACACACAGTGGCCCAGGACAGAGGCTTCATCTCCCTGCCTCTCTTGCAGCTGGTGGGTCTAAGCTCCAGCTGGTGAGCCCTGAGTGGGAGCCACGTGGGCATCTCTGGCCTTAAGGGTAGGGCCTGCCCCACCTTCCCTTCCCGCTTCCTGCTGGCTGGGACGTGGACACAGTGGTGAGCCATTCTGAACCATGTGGACAAGGACAACATCTTTGGGACGGCAGAGTGGCGAGAGAGAAGGGCCTTGGGCCCTGTCCAATGTCTCAGGCCACTGTCACTTGGGGGTCTCTGTCACACGCTGCCTAACTGTCGTTCTAACTTTTGTAGTAGGTGTGGGGTGGGTCTCAGGAGTTTGTGACAAGCTCCCAAGGGACTCCACAACAGGCATGGATTCTCTGCTCTCGTTCAAACTCCCGGCTTTGCGTGGGCCCTGCCACCCCAGCAGGCAGAGAGGACAGCTGACGGAGCCAGGCAGGAGGCAGAGCTGGGCTCCCAGTGGAGGCTGCGGGGAGGGGCACAGAATGGGGGCACAGAACGAGCATGGGAGTGTACGGGAAGCCATCTGGACTGTGTCTGTCCCCCGGACTCCCTCGTATCTTACACAGACACAGCCGCCTTCGGGTGAGTGTTGAAAACGGGTCTCCAGACCCTGCGTGGCTAGAGACAAAGGCGCGAGGGAAGAAGGTCTGGAGTGGGCGTGCCTGCAGACACGGAGGTGCCCGGTCGAAAACTGCCCTTAAAACTTCAGTGCGGGGCCCTTTATAGTTAACACAGGGGGCAGCAAGGGTACTCGCACCCTCATTGTGCGGGGGGTCGTCAGGTGGGATCTACTGAGGGTCCCCAGGCAGCCGGGCCCTCTCCCTGGCTCAGGCAACAGGGCCTCCAGGCGCCCGGGCCCAGACACTCACTGTAGAAGGTGGTCAGGGCCACGGGAGGCTGGGCGCTGAAGTCATAGTGCTCGTAGTCAGAGTCCGAGCTGGAGTCCGGGTCTGCGGGGGTCGGGGCCTGGGCCTGGACGGGCAGCTTGGGAACTGGGGAGAGAACGGAGCGCGGGGAGTGGCCAAGTGGTGGGCAGAGGGTGCAGGGAGAGGCCACAGGGGGCGTGGATGGCGAGCGGGCGGCCCACCTGTCCGAGACTCCCAGCCTGGGTCTTCCCAGCGCTTCCCGCCCATTTCGAACAGGAAACCAAGCAACATTCCTTCTGTGACAAACACTTAGCAGTCACTTACACGCCAGGCGCTGTTCTAACATATACAAACATCATCTCGTTTAATTCTCATAACCACTCTGGGAGGGAGGGACGGTAGCGTCCCCACTTTATAGCTGAGGAAACTGGGGCACAGGGCTCTCCCTTGCCCAGAGAGGCAGGCAGGGTGGCTCTCGGCCTCCAGGACATCCTGTGCAGCAGGGGCTGCTCGGTGCCTGGCCTGGTTCTGGGCTCTGTTATTCACATTCTCCCCTCAGGTAGGTGGATACTGCAGAGAATGGTGATAATGTTTGGCCGAGTTTCGCACTGGTTTTCAAGGACAGGAGATTTAACATACTCACAATGCAACGTGATTACATTCCAACTCCCTTAGGAGAGTTTCTAAGGGAGGTATAAATCCCTATGTCATGAAACATGGGTGCGTGATCTATTTTTTTTTTTTTTCATTCAGAAAGCATGAAATAAAACTGCGTTCCAGGAAAATCTTGACAGGGCTCTGCAGGGAGGCTGATTGGGCAAGCCATGGAAAGAGGCATTGGTACTGCAACCGACTAGCCAATCGGCAGAGTGGAGATTTCCAATGACAGCCCAGTCCCAAATGCCCCGGGCGGTGCCTGTCAGAATTTGAAAGCCTAGGGTCCCAGAATGACGGCACTGAAAGCTCATCTGCTCATCAGATTGAGACTTGATGTGCTCAAGGTCCCACAGTCACTAGTGGGCTGGCCCGGGTCTCATCCCTGGCGAGGGCACTGCTTTGACCTAAACAGTGCGGACCCTCCAGAAAGGACACCCTTCCTGTCATCTCCAGCCCTCCCCTCCCCCAGGATGGCTGACATCCTACCTTCTTCTTTGGGGATGGTGATGGGGACATCTTGATAGCTATTGACCCCTGCTGGGGTGATGGTAGGTAGGTGTTGGTGGTTCACCACAGCAGGGAGGGCTGAGGGAGGGGAGGCAGAGATTCTATAAGTTATTTTTTGGCCCCTTCCGGTCTGCCTGGTTCTGTTCTCATCGAGACACCTCCCTCCTCACCCACCCTCCAAATACACACACGTACACACAGCCTGACCCTCCCGTGGGACCCACACTGGTCCACTTCTCCGGGGTATGCTGGGAAAGTCCTCCCCTTCAGGAGGTGCTCCCGGGTCCAGGGTTGGGGGGCCGAGTCACTGCTACTCCTGATGGGGTCCCCCAAGCTCACATCCCCCTCAGAGGGTTGCGCCTCAGGCCGGCTTCTGCCCATCCCAGGGCCTTCCCTACGGCTCCCAGAATCCTGCACTTACCATATTTCCCCTTAACTTTCAAGAGGATGATGGCGATGATGATGAGTGAACCAAGAAAGAGAATTCCCAGAATAATAGAGGCAATAAAAAGGATCAGCTCCCGAGACTTCCAGTCCTCCATTTTCACTGTCACAGAAGGTTCTAGAAGCAAGAACCCCAAATCAGGGAGGAAGAATGGACACAGACTTCTCCGTGTCCTTTTTCTCCCCTCTCCATCCTGTCTGCAGCTGAGCTGCTTTTTCTTTGGACCTAGCCTCCTCTTCCCTTCAAAATTTTTTTCTCATCTGCTCTTAGGTGCCTTGTACATAGTGGGTGCTCAAGAAATACATCCTGAATGAATAAGCGACTGAGTGAAGCTTTCTCCTGGCCCTCAGCCCACAGGGATCTCTCTTTGCTCAACCATGACTGAGTACCTACTGCATGGTGATGGCATCACGGGCCATCACGGTCTCTGTCTAGTAGGGACATCAGTAACTCGGCTCAACCCTGTGCAACGCTGTGATGGAGCTGTGGGCGGGGACCCAGGGACATGAGGCTCTGCCAGGGCCACTTGATTCTCTATGGAGAAGACAAAGGTGACCTTTCCAGAGAAGCCACCCCTGGTAGTGAACACCCCAGGCCTGGACTGAATAATCACGAGAATAACTGATGCTCAGGCAGTGCCTGCTGTGTACTAATCCCTGTTCTAAGTGCTTTATGAATATGTATTCTTTGGAGACTTACAGCAACACTAGGAGAGGTGCTATAGTTTTCAATCCCATTTTATAGCCAAGGCAACTGAGGCTCAGAGAGGTTAAGAACTGCCTAATATCACACAGCTAGCGAGAGGCACAGCTGGGATTTGAGCCCTCAGAGTCTGCCCTGAAGCCAGCCACGCTACACACAGCTGGCAGATGCACCAAGCGTGGGTCTGGGATTCAGAACCCTGGATGCGAATTCCAGCCAACACTGGCTAGCTGTTGCTTCACCTCTGAGCTGGACCTCCTTCCCCTGTGTAAGGGTCATGATGAGACCTCCCCAGGAGGCTGCTGGGAAGATTCGAGGGTTGGGAAGTAATGACCCAGAGCGCTGGGCCAGTGCCTGGGACATTATAAACACACTGGCTGTCACCCTCAATGTCCTCACCCTGTCACTCCAACTCAGCTCTCCAGCTCTATCCTCCTGCCCTACAGGAGCTCACAGGAGAGTGGGAAGTAGACTCCTATCCATGGGACACTAGGATTCAGGGAGCGGTGGAGCTGACACGGGAGGAGGGTGGGGAGGGCAGAGGGCCGCAAGGCACCAAGAAAGCCTCGGGGAGGCAAGTCCAGCGTCTGGAGGCGGGCGACGGAGGGCACACCGCCTGGCCCCACCCAGGCAGACACACACACTCACACACAAATGCACGTGTGCATCTGGGCCTCTGAGACACTGAGAACCCAGCGACACTCACCGACGGTGACAGGCTGCGTACTCGTGGGAACTTCAGGTGTGGACAGATTGAGCAACTTCTGGGAACCTGTCAGGAAGCACACTTCATTCAGCTGGACACACAGCACCTACTATGTGCCCGTCCTCATGCCAGGAACTGAACATGACAGACAGGTGACCTGGAGCTGGGGGCACGGTCCCAGGGGGGCCCCTGGCTGAGGAAACCTGTCTTTCCCACCCCCCACAACAAGGAGGAACAGTGTGGATTAAACGCAGTGAAGGCCCTTGGCTTAGAATGTAGGGCTAATAAAAGAATAATCTCTTCCTTCCATAGAATCTGCTCCAGACCACACTTCCCTTTCCCACTCGGTGGGGTTTGCTCTCCAGGTGGGCCTCAGGAGGTGGGAAGCCGGCACCCTCGGTATTACCATAAGCACGTGACAGGTAAGGGATGGCCAATCCCAAGGTCCTGTGGAGCTGCTCTCTGATTTCCCAGCTATCCTCGGAGTGGCTATATCAGCATCCACGTGGTCCCGAAACGGAGGCCTTCTGGCTGGTGAATGGCGGCCCTGGACCCGGTAGCCGGGCATCGGAACTCCCCAGACACAGCTAACACCACGTTTGCTCAGGACTAACGCTCTCTCGCCTTTTCATACCTTAACACCTCTGAAATTGTCGCACCTAATGACACGCCAAGAGTTTATTTTGGCAGCATTTTTGTCCACTAATAAAATACCAGTGGAGTGGTGTATCGGTGCTGCCTCAGACTTGTTAAGGTACGATAGAACCCAGTCCGCAGAGGGGATGCGGGGCTCTGCCAAAGTAAGACTCACCGAGGGCTCAGCATAGTCTGCTACGTGACAGGGAGTCCAGACACTGCCACTGATACTATTATTAGTGTCTCCTAATGTATTCTTACTGTGGTCACCAGCCCTGGGACCACAAGTTGGTTGTATCCCCTGAGCCAAGCCCAGTCCACAGAGACCACTGATTAGCATATTATAATGCCATAGTAAGTATTTGATTCTGAGGCCAAATCAAGGATTTGTGGAAAATACACCCTGACCAATTAGCAACCTCTGCCTGGGCATGCTAGGGACACTGGCCCCTCTAATGCCAGCCTTTGTCATTTTTGACCTGGTCTACGCTGTGTTCCTTGGGCTGCAAGTTCTTAGGCTGCGGATTCAGGTGGAATTCCTGGTCTGCATCTGAGGGGAGGGTGTGGGGGGGGAGGGAGGGTACCTGAGCAGAGGACCCTGGCTGCCCTTGACTGCACGCAGACGTTGGAGTTGTTGAATCTCCAGGAACAGTCGGAGAGGGTGCTCTCTTTTCCTGTGCAGGAGTAGTACATCCTGCCCGACAGGGAGTGGGGCAGCCCCTGGGGTCGTTCGGCCACCGTCCCGCAGCCCAAGGCACGGCAGAGCACGTGGGCCTCAGATGAGTACCACTCACTGTCACACACTGTGCTCCAGACCCCACGGAAGTGTACCTCCACCTGCCCCTCACAGCGGTCAATGCCTCCAGTCAGGCGCCAGGACTGGTGCTCTGCAGGGGACGGGGGTGGGCGGCATCAGGCCAGGATCTTTGGGCCCAAATTCCCACCAGCCCGCGCCCATGAATGCAAACACCCCGCAGCCCATAGGTCTCCAGATCTGTGTGCTCTCTCCCCGGGATTCACCTCCCCTGTCTACTTGGGCTTCAGTGCCCTACACCCCTGCTACCCAACGTGTGGTGCATGGACCAGCAGCGGCAGCATCGCCTGGAATCTGGTTAGAGATGCAGAATCTCGAGTCCTGCCCCCGACCTACTGAATCAGAATCTACACTTCACAAGACCCCCGCCCGACTCCTATGCCTATTACAGAGAAGCGCTGGCTGGACCAGACGGCCTCATCTGGGCTGCCCACAGCCTGCTCGGGGCCTCCCTGCCTCCCTGCCTCCAGTGCCTCTCCCTGCTCTGAATGAGGTGACCAACCCTCGCTCAGGAAGAACTGACCCTAATGCCACCTCTTCCAGAAGGTGGGCGGGTTTATCCCTCCAGCTCCGGATTGCCTGCAGCCTAAATAACGCCTGGCTTCCTTTCTCAGGACTTTTACCACTTGCTCCCCAGGGGTATGTTTGTCTGGGTCTCATCTTCCCTCCTGGATGGTGACCACGCAAGGACAGGGACCGTGTGTCCTGCGCTAACTCCGGGCCCGGTGCCCAGGAGGCTTGCAGCAAGTGCTGGTGGAGGATGGGGTTCAGAAACGGCGCCCACTGACCTGAGCACACCACGCCAGCGTCCTCCTTGTGGCCGCAATAGCCATCTCCAGGCAGCCCTGGGCAGTCCCACAGGTAGATCTCGGCCCCCGAGCAGTTCACCTGGTCCCGGTGGATGGCTCCTTGGCCAGGGGCAAAGTGCAAGCCCGGCAGGGCCTGGATGGCCCAGCCGCAGCTCAGTTGCTTGCACACCACGTCGGCATCCTTCAGGTCCCACGAGTCGTCGCACAGAGAGCCCCACTGGCCGTGCTCCAGCATCTCCACGCGGCCAGCGCAGGGGCTGCCACCCTCCACCAACCGCAGTGCTCGATTCTCTGGGGGTGGGAGGGCAAGGGGTTTGTGGATGGGGGTGGGAAGAGGGCCAGGAAGGGAGGCGGTGGTAGGGACTGGGCTGGATAGTTGTGGATGGGGCTGTGGACCCAGCAAGAGGGCCTGTAACCCTGTGGGCAGGACAGGGGAACCCTGCAGGGCTGGGACTTGCTGAGCAGAGGCAGGAGGACTGGTTAGGGTTCCTGGGGAGCCGGTGCAAAGGGCTCATAACCTGGTGCAAATTCGTGGGTGGGGCCAGACACTTGCAGGCGGGGCCTGAAAAGCGAGGCCTTGGAGCTGGGGAGCTGCAGTGCCAAGGGGCCCTGGGAACTTGTCATATTTATGTACACTGTGGGTAAGGGTGGAGCTAAAGGAGACAGAAGTCCAGGGCAGGACGAAGGAAGGCACCAGCAAGTAAAGCCTACGACCCTGTTAGAATTGGGGACCTAAGGGGTCGGGCTGGGGACTAAGTGGGCCAGTTGGGAGATCTAGCAGGGGGAAAGGTCCGCAGGCCAGATCTGAGGAAACACCCAGAGCTGGAAATGATACAAAGTGGCAGTTGCTCCAGTGTGGGGACCTGTTGTGTTTGCGTGGTGGGTGGGGGGTGAGGTCCCGGGGAGGAGGCTAGAGCCCAGTGCCCAGGGCTGGGGACCAGAGTGAGAGGCATTGGCTGAAGGCCGGCGGGAAATAGGTGCTCTCTCCCCCTTCCCCGGCAGGGGCTCAGCTGGCAGGCACGGGGCAGGCCGCTGTACCTTTACAGGTGACCTGGGCTGGCCTCCCGCTGATGCACTCCTCCTCCACCACCTGGCAGGACTGCCAGTCAGCACTTCTGCACCGGACTGCAGGTACCAGGGCCTGAGTGGTGTTTGGGGGCCCGCTGGCGTTCCCCGTGGCCCAGTCCGGTGGCAGTTCCGACGACGGCAGAGCTGGCGAAACCGGTTCCCGTTCTGCCCCTCCACAGCCCAGCACGTGGCACACGGCCTCCTCGGCGACAAAGTCCCAGAACTTCCAGCACAAGGGCTCCCAGGTCTGTCCTAGCTGAACCTCCACGGTCCCGCTGCAGCGGCTGCTCCCATTCACCAGGCGGACCCTGGGCCACTCCCCTGGAAATACCAGACACCAGCTGGGGCCGGGGCGGATTCAGACTCTGCCCACCCAGGAACAGGTGGGGGCAGGTGACTGCCAGAGGCCCCACCACGGGCCTACTAAGTGACTTTGTACAATTTCCTACCTCACCCTGGGCCTTAGCCCTCCAGTCTGCAAAATGGGGCTGGGAGAGTTCATCCACAAGCCCCCCCTTTGAAGCCTGACCCTGTGGCTCTCACTGGAGTCAGGAAGAGGGGCTGAGGGTGACGCTGAAGGTTAGGATGAATTAGGCCTGGGGCAACGGAGAACCAGGGGTCCGGTCCCTGCAAACCCTCCTCACTTGCCCCTGTCTGAAGAGCACCCTTGTGTGCAGGAAGGGCGGAGTTCTGGGCTCAGGGCCCCCCAGGTATTGCAGGCACCACGCACGCAGGCCTCTCCTCTGCTCCCAGGGCACTAGCTCCGAGGGAGCGCCACAGTGACCCCAGAACACTGGGGGACAGACAGACGTGGGGTTGGCGACGGGTTGCAAGCGTGTATGATGGCTCTCCCCTGCCCCAGAGCCCTTCCTTGGGGGGCCCACCTGCATATGTTTGCCCAGGGCTGCACCCCCAGTGTCGGTGTGCAGCTTTGCACGGAGTAGATCCTTTATAAATACCTGTCCAGTTAATCTAAGACCCGCCTGGTGGAACCCCCCAACCTTCACCGAAGATCCTTTAGCTTGTTCTCAGCAAATCCCTTTAAAATGCTCACTGCACACCCTGTCTCGTATATGTGACTTTTTATCACTGGCCTCTCAAAGATGGTAGCTCCAAGGGAATCTAATGTGGACCTGCAGATACTGGTTTAAGAAGCAGAGGTGCCGTCTGAAGTTAGAGAGCCTCCCTGGTACCCTAAAAGTCCATTTCCCCTTTCAGTCACCCCAGAACACCACCTGCTTGGTCTCAGAAAACTGACCATGAATCCCAGCAAGAGAATTTCCTCACCTGGCTCCGTGGGCCGGCTCTCTGCCCTGCTGGTATTGCGCTGGCCGGACGGGGCTGGAGATGGGTGACCTGAAATCAACAAGCAGCAGCCCCGGTGAGCGAGTGGACTCAGACATGCAGGGCACAGCGGTGCCTTGAAGGGCGGGGCACACTCTCTGGAACCTGCCACAGCTGTACTGGGCCTTTGGAAAAGGACGTGGCCCCGGACCTTGGTCCCTTTGCCTCCTCCCTTCGGGAGAGGGAGGTTCTCAGGCATCGGACCCCCAGCGTTCTCCACTTCCTGTGTGAGTCATGCACACGTCCTGGGGAATCGCAGCAGAGCAGAGAGGGAGGACCAGGCTTCGAGGCCAGACCCACTCGCTGGCTGAGTGACCGGCATGGCCCAGTCGCTTTCTGTGCCAGGGTCCCAGCTCGTTGGCAAGGCACTTAGGAAAATATTGAGGGCTTAAAGGAGTTAATATCTAAAATATCTGACGTACAAAGGAATCTTGAAAATGGAGTTGTTTTTAGTAAAACCACTTTTGTTTAGAAAATTCAAGAGATTCACACCAGACTTTCAGGTAACTGGCACCTCCTGAGTTGTGATCCATTGGACTGCAAAGGGGGCTTTCAGACCCTAAGAAATTAACATTTGTGGAGGACCGATTATGTCAGGTGTTTGCATACGTGATGTCCACTTGGCCTTGGGAGGACAACCTGCTTGGTCTAAATCAGCATCTTCTTGGGCCCTTTGGCTTCCGTTCGGCTCAGCCAGTGGAGAGCCCCAGCAGGGACAGGAGGGAGGTCCCGGTGTTTATTTCCCCGGCTCCCTCCCAGGAAGATCCTTTGGGTAAGCTAGGTCCTTCTATTGGTCCTTTCAAGGTAGCCAGTCACCTATCCTTGACTCTCGCCTCCCCTGTCTCACTGGCCACTCCCTGGTCTTGTGTCCTTGGACCAGGGTGGTAACAGCTCAGCTGCCCTGAGTTCCTTTTACTGCATCATCCTTTGTAAAGGGGCTTTTGTGAATAAGCCCCCTTCAAACTTCCATTTTGAGCGTGCCATCTGTTTTCTGTTAGGACCCTGAGTCATACCTGGCCCAAGGCCACCAGCTAGCAAGTGTCAGAGCCAGCCTTTGAACTGTCCCCAAGGAAGGGGCTCCATGCTGGGCGGGGGCGGTCCAGTTTGCACAAGCACAAAGGGAGAGCTGTAGCAGGGACTACTGTGCACACAAAGGAAGGCCTCCCCATTTCCGGGTCTCTTGTGCTTACGCCGGAGCCATGGAAGCCTAGGCAGGTGGACGCGTGTCCACTGCGGGGACAGGGTAGGTAGGAGGCAACGAGCCTCCTCTGGCTCTTTCTTCCCTGTCACGGCCGTATTTGAGGTCCTGGGCTCCTGCTGCCGCTACAAGATGAAGGGGGATGTTGACCCAACTGGGATTCTGTGTGAGTCAGAAGTGAACCTTCACTGTGTCGAGTCGTGAAGATTGGGGGTGTATTTGTTACCACAACCTGGCCTGGCCTGGCCTGACTGATACAGGGGCTGCAGACACAGGCACGGCTGCTACACGTTCTCAGCCTCACTAAGAAGATTCCAGGGACTCACACGCTCAGACGAGCGTGCACGTGCGCACGCACACACCCCTCCTCGGGACAGAGCTCTCGCACAAGCACCTGTCTGGGCCACTCCGTCCCTCAGACAGAAAGTAATCAGGCCTTTCATTGCTTGTCCTCACCAACTCCCGGCGTGGCTGCCCAGCCTGGCCCCGAAGGAGAAATCACTCAGAGTTCAGAGCACGAACTCCATGACTAATGAAATATTCAGAACAAGGATTCAGATGCCCTCAAGTTAGGATTTTGGAATCCCAGTTCCCATGGCAACTGTCCCGGTGCTCCAGTGTGGTTTTCAGTATTTCCACATATTTCCATGTGTGCTGGGGCGGTGGGGGGATTGAGACGCTGGCTGCAGTGCACATGTGTGTGTGATTGTGGTGTGTGTGTGTGAGTGTATGATTGTGATCGTGTGTACCACCGTGTGTGGCTACATCTATGTGTGGAACCATGTGCTTGTGTGTGACCGTGTATGTCGTGGAGGGCTCAAGTTCAGTTCTGTATCACGTCTTTGGGTCTGGGAAGCTGCTTTGTCATGCATAACGGCACACAGGTCTTCTACTGGACCAGAGAACCCTGGAGGGCAGGGCCCAAGGCCGAGTCAGCCCTGCGCCCCCGGGGTGCTCAGTACAGTGTTTGTTGATTGACTGACTGACTAAGAATGAGAAGGAGCTGCCAGCTCCAAGGACAACTGTCACCAAAATAGTTAAACAATACTTTAGATAAATTAACCAATTTAATTTTCACAGCAAGCTCACATAGTGGGGAAACAGAGGCACGAAGCGGTTTAATAATTTGCCCAGGATGACACTCCTAGAAAATGTCAGAGCTGGGGTTTGAGCCCAGGCAGGCCGGTTCCAAAGCCCGCACTCTTAACCGCTCTGCTCCCCTGAGTTGAAGCCCAACATCCTGCTTTCTGCTTCAGTGACAGTGTCAAGGGTGTGGGGCAGAGAGTGCTGACAACCAGGTGGTCTTCCTAACTCCCTCCGGCTTCACAGGGCTTGGCCAGCGACAGCCCAGCCCCCAGTGGTGCTACAAGTCAGCAGCAAGCCACAGGGACTCGTCTCCAAAGGCCTACTGTAGCTGCCCGAGGCAAGGCCGCGCACCATCGGCAGAGGAAGGTGGTGACAAAGGCTCCCAGAGTCCCTGCCCCAGAGGGCTTCAGCCACTCGGTCAGAGCAGTGCAGCCTCTTTGTCTTTTGTCACCAGGTCACACGACCCAGGATGTTCAGCGGAAGGACATCTTCCCTGCAAGCCCAGATTGAATTCTCTCCTCTTCACCGCCACACCCAAGGGGGAGTGAAGAACAATTCATAATCTCCCCTGAAAGGAAGACCAAAGATAATGCAACACCCCGGCGGTGGGGTGTGTTTGATTTCTGGGACTCCTATTTTAAAAATAAATAGTATTTTTTTTTTTAAAATCCACATAAAAGTGGACCCATGCAGTTCAAACCCATATTATTCAAGGATCAGTTGTACAGACATTCCACCCCAAGCAAAAGATGGCCCTGAGAAACCCTCAGTTCTGTGCTCGGCAAAGTCTGCATTCTTCATTTTCCTCACCCCTCCCCATCTTGCTGATGAACCTTAGCCGAGCTGTCCCTCCTCACAACCTGCTCTCTCTCCCTGGCTCTCCATTGCATCCAGTGGTCCAGGACATGAGATGCAGACCACAGTTGCCATGGTAACAGAAGTTCCTCTCAAAGCAAAGGCTCCTGTGGTCCTGGTCCCGAGGCTTTCTCAGGTTCAAGTGCCAAGTTATTCCTTCTTTGCAGTTACCAGATGGTAAGGTGACACACCCCAGGCTCACAGGATCACGAGCAACTCAGAATAAAAATCCCGTGGGACGCCAGAAAGGAGGTGGCTCCCAGAGGGCCAGTAAGTAGGCCAGAGACACTGGCCCCATCTTCCTGACCCCCCGTATGAATTCAGACCACTGAGCGCCAGAAGCGGATGTCCCGGACCCTCCTCCCTGATTCCAACTCAGTAGGTCTTGGACGGGGCTCTTGAATCTGGTTTGGGTAGAACCATCTGCCAGGGCTTGGGCAGCAGACAGAGTATCGGATTGGAACAGAACAAGCCTGGGATGGAAACCCAGCTTCCCCCTTACTAACGGGGCCTCTGGCAAATCCCTTCGTCCGCATGACTTGCCTCCCTCACCTCACAGGTGCAGAAACCTCGAAGTAGCCAAGTGAGATGAGGAGACAGACCCAGCCTCTACTGGCCAGAAGGACCCAACCAGATCTTGCAGAATCCATGAGCACAAATGTACACTTGTGATAGGCGTGTGTGTGCAGATGTAGTGTGGGTGGGAAAAGCAGGTTTTACACAAAATAAGCAGGATGAGCATAGCCTTATAAATATGTGAAGGAAAAGTGGCCATGATGCCTCCTGCAGTTGAAGATGCTCACACTTTAACACCCAAACAAGAGCTCTATGCGTATATCCTGGAAAAACATTCTCTGGTATGTTCCCATGCAGATATCTACAGGGATTTTTTTTAAAGCACTGCTTGTAATAGAAAAATTCAGTAGTAATCTCACAGTTCACCAGCAGAAAATAATTAAAGATACTGCGTTATCATCATAGATTGAATTATTTAGTTAAAAGAATGAATTAGACGCATATCTTGGTCTAGATCTTGAAGACATAGTATACCGCGTGAGAAAAGTCAGTTGTAGAACAACATGTTTGGTATGATGTCATTTTTGTGAAATATACCACATGTACCATCTAGTGGGTATGAGTACATTTTGTGTAATAAAAGTATAAAAACATGTAAGGAAAGAGTGGGCCCACCACGCTTTGGAGCCGAAGTGCTCTAGGGACCAGAGGTAAGGAAGTATTTTAACAGTACCTGTATGATTTCTTTCTTATTAATATAGATCGGAGCAAACATGGAGAGAAATGTAAGGATTTCTTAAATCTGGGTGGTGTGAATGCCTAAAGGCTCCCACCTTTGGTAAGATGCTGTCAGTACATTTCTGAGTCTTTGCAATATTTCTAACAAAATGTTTGGAAGATTCTATAACAGGGTAGTAGTAACAGTTATCTTTGAAGGTAAGCTTAGCATTGCTGTTAAGTTTTTTTTTTAATTTTATAAATTCTGTAACATTTGTCATACATATCACTTTGAGTGATGAAAATAAAAACATCAGTGATTTAAATGAGAACATACGTGAAAAACTTTGTAAATTGCTTGAATCACAGCAATACCCACTCCAACGGTTCTCGTGTGCTGATATGGGTAAAGAAATCTGTGTGGTTTGGATAGTTTTCAATTCTTTAATCTCCTTCTCAGTGTCTGGAGATAGATTTAATTATTACCCCCACTCTACAGATGGGAGTCCAAGAGGTAAAGGAACTTTCCAGGACAGCAGGGCTCATAAGAGGCAATATTGAGATTTGAACCCTCACGGAGGGCTCACTGCGTTCCCTTAATTACCACCTGACAGACACTACAGAGCACACAGCACATGCT